TGACTGACTGACTGACTGACTGACTGACTGACTGACTGACTGACTGACTGACTGACTGACTGACTGGTTCGTGTTAAACCATGCAGGTATGGTAAATCGTCAAAAGTTTCTTGCCTAAAGATTGATCCATACTTATTCATTCTCGTAAGATGTTATCCGCTGCTCAGAAGGTAGACTGCATGGTGAATTAGGCTGCGCCATATATTCTGGTTTTGTGCGATTCGTGTGACAGGCCAACATGAGTGTGTTCCCTATTTGCAACGCTCATCCAACGTCGTCATGGTCTCGAATCTGGTAGTCAAGCCTTGTAGTACTTGATTCTCAAGATATTATCCATTCCTTCGCATCATAATTTTCATTCAAAGCATGGAAACGTCATATTTAAGAATCATATCATATCCAAGCATATTTTTGACCACCTGTCATCATCTCCTCTATAAATGGTATCGATTCAATGGTTAATACATAAATGGAAGAACGACATTATGGTTTTTACTTCTACTACCAACCTCAAGGCAAGCGGTCTCATTTCCTACTTTGTTTATTATTTATCATCTCTTCACCTGCGGAATAACACCTGCTTTAGTAGTTAATGCTTGGAAACGTTTTCAGGTGTTAAGGGGTTTGATGAATATGAGTGAAGAGTCTTTCAGTGCATCTCAATAACAACTTTGTTTCTACCCTTGAGGTGAAAACCGTTACATGACTGTTATAAAATTTATTTATTTGCTGTCGATGACCAACGGCGTCTCGTCGCAAAACCGCCAAACTTCGCACTGCCCTTAATTTGATCACGCCACGTCGTGTTTACATGACCGGTGATGGCTGAACAGGCGCAGTGATCTCCTCGGTGTCATAAACGACCAATGACCATGTTGCAAGTGCTCGACGATAATCGTGAGGGTGGTCGTCATTCCCTTGCCATTACGCCCCACCTTAAAAGTGACCATTTCGTGTAAAGTGACCGCCGGTGACCACGTAGCTGCACGACCGACGATGTCTGAATTGGCAATAGTCGTTCGATAGATCAGTGGGCCGTTTCCGGTTCGATTACAAGTGGCATAACGATCGTTGTGTTATTGCGGCAGCGGCGACGTTTGATTTTTGCTTAAACCGTCCGTTTGCTTTCAGGTTTATTAATGCCCGCCGTCGCATTGTCCAGCCGATGATTGATCAGAGCAATCGAGCCGGTCGCTCACCAGTGGTAAACGTGTTCAAGTCCAGACGTCGGAAATCGAGTGGTCAGAGCCCCGGGCCGTCGCCTAGCAACGTAGGCAAGTTACACATTGCTGACATGGCAAATTATTACAGTAAGATTTGAAGGAACAAGCGTCGAAGCGTTTTGTTTTTTGTTTTTACTTTTTCGTGAGTGTGATTTTGAGACGAGGTTCCAGACTAAACACCGGACACGCGTCCTCATCGCACTTTACGTACGGTCGTTGACGGTATTGTTTAGGACCGTTGAACGCCTACAGTCCGGACAGCTCGATGGCACCGTACATGACGAATGCCGGTGCCGACCTCTACGCCAGAGCGGGTATGCTTCCGGGCACCGGTCTGAACCCGCACAACCCGTACGGTGGTATGACGGCCCATTCGCAGCTGGGTCCTGCAGGGTAAGGAAGAATTTGGCCTCTGACCGACACGGCGACCGGTTCTTCATTGACTGCTGTGTTTTTCGTTTCAGGACGATTCCTGGTCAGGCAATGCTGATTCCCGGTCACCCCCACGCGATGATGATGGCCCATCACGCCGCGTCGGCCGTCTATCCCCATCAAACGGCTCAGGCTTGGGGTCATATCGACCCAACGCTAGCCCTGAATCCGCACGCCATGATGGACGCTTCGATTTAAAACACCACCACCACAACAACACGGATTGACCGACGACCGATCCACCGACCGACGATTGACAGACCGACGCTTTTTGTTCCAGAATTCCTTCGGAATATGAGGGTTTCATTCATTGACACGCTGTCCTTTTGTTCTTTATTATTACATTGTTGTGATCGTCGTTTTGTTAGAGAAGACTACCGCTGTTCATTATATTTTTTATGCCAATGATCATCTTGCCATTTCTGCTCATATTCTTCTGTACTCTAATGATTTTTAGCATGTTTTTCTTTCTTTCTTGCTGAAGGACAGACAGACAGTTTTTTTGGAATTTTTTCGGTTTGTACGGGGCGGGCGGTGTCGCGCTCTCTCCCCAGCCATTTCAGAGTCCTACAGACTAACAGGGTATTATCGCTTATCGCTTGTTGACAATGTGTTTTACTCAGTAACTCAAACACGGTAAAGGCCATAAATTCCAGTGATCATCCCGCTTTCTGATATTGTACATGATTATTCTGTCTACGCTGAGCGCCGCTTCCGCCTCCGCTGTCCTGTCGTCCTCGCCGATGCCAGTTGCAGACATGATGGACGAATGGTCGCGATTTGGTACACCTCGCCACTCCTCTCCGTCCGCTCTGGCCCCGTCGTCGCAGTCAGCTGTCATCCCCGTCCTGCTGGTCGTTCTGACCAACGGTCACAAATTTGTTTTCTGTCATCTTGGTGCTACTCTCAAACTTGCATACTTTGTACGATCGTCATTCACTCTCAGTGGAAGCTCTGTCCAGTGGTGTGCTACCCATCCACCGGTCGTTCTGTTCGTTTTTCTAATCCTGCGGCTTCTGTACCTACCATCCTGGACTCGACTGTTCAACCGGCCCGGCGACAGTGGACCGTAGCGGTGGCGACGGGGTCGGTCTAGTCGCATGTCGAAGCGTGCGTGTAGCGGTCGGTACCCGGCAGCTCAGCAGTAGTTGTTTTGTTTGCCAATTTTGATATTATGTAGCGTTTACATTTTGATCAGCTTGCTAATGTTGGCCTGCATTAAAACAGGGTACGTGAGCAGAGTATTTTTATTATTTTTTTATTATTCATTTTATTAAACAATGAATTTATTCACGTGGCTCTATGGCTGACGGAAATTTTTAAAATAGCTGCAATACTTTTCAGGCATTGTTCTTTTATCAACAGCCCAATTGATTGAACCAGCCGCTGCGAAACAATATGATGCTCCGAACCTCACGTAATTTCCTTAATGACATGATCAGCTGCCAGCATTGGAATCGCCGAGCCATTGAACTATGACCTTAGGCAATGACGGCAGTTCAATCGTAGGTCGGTTCAACGAAACGTTTGGTTCATGTATCCCATGATCTGTCAGTTCAGTTGAATGACCGTGATGCACCTAATCGCAGGCACTGTTTCAA